CCCAGGGAAGCCCCTGCACAGGCAGCTCCTGCAGTACCCCACTTCCTCACGCCTCCTCATTCTCCTCCCAGCCCTTCTCCAAACAGAGCATTCCTGGCTGTGCAGATAGGTAAGTGGAGGCACTGGGTGGTGTCCCTGGAAAGCCTGCCGAGTACACGTGTGTTCAGGGACAGCATGCCTGTAAGGACGTACGTGTGGACATGTACGTGTGTGTATATACTCAGCAACCTGCACAGACAGAAAGCCTGCATGCTCTGCAGCTCACCCGTGCTCCAGTGAGAGCGCTGCCTGTGCGTGGACCTATGTGTGTGTGTGTGTGTGTGTATGTGTAATCAATCACGTATACGTGAGTTTCTGGGCGCTCTGAGCTTCTGGCGCTCTGTTTTGATGTCGTTCTGTAGTCTCAGGATACAGTCTGGGCGTGTGCTGATTCTTGGGAAGTGACTGAGGCCCTGTTGTTGACTTAGTACTTGGTTTTCTCTGTCGGTTCTGGTAATGTGTGTTGAGAAGGACTTTGGATGTTGTATTAGTCCATGTTCATGCTGCTGATAAAGACACACCTTAGACTGGGCATTTTATAAAAGAAAGAGGTTTATTGACTTAACGTTCCACATGACGAGGCTTCACAATCATGGTGGAAGTGCAAGCATGATGTCACATCTACGCGGGTTGGCGGCAGGCAGGAGAGGGCTTGCACAGGAACTCCCGCTTTAAACCGCTGATCTCGTGAGACGTATCTACCTCAGGAGAATACTCACGGGAAGACGCACCAGCTCCCTCCCACCACTTGTGGGAATTATGGGAGCTACAGGATGAGATTTGGGTGCGGACATAGAGCCAGACTGTGTCAGACAGGAGGTCTCACGGTGTCTCTTAGCTCTGGTGGTTTTGACTGTGCTGTACAGACCACCCATGATACAGCTCATTCTTTGCCTAACGGCCACTTCCCAAGAGGGTTTGCCGAAGTCCCCGCAGTCAGGGGTGTCTCTGCACCAGCCCTCAGCATTGCTTTTTATGTTTTGAGACTGCATTTGTAAGTTACATATCTGTTCAAGTGTTTATTACATTCCTTCAAACATTCCTTCAATTCTCTCTCTTATTTTTATCTAAAATCTAGTTTTTCTAGTACCTACATAGACCTCTCTGTCTTTGGTCACTGTTTTCATAGTAAATCTTTTTCATCCGTTATTTTCTAACTTTCTACTAACCATTGTATTAAGTGGTCTTCTTCTTTTTTTTTTTTTTTTTTTTTTTTTTGAGACGGAGTCTCGCTCTGTCGCCCAGGCTGGAGTGCAATGGCCAGATCTCGGCTCACTGCAGCTCCGCCTCCCGGGTTTACGCCATTCTCCTCTGCCTCAGCCTCCCTCCGGGAGTAGCTGGGACTACAGGCGCCGCCACTCCGCCCGGCTAGTTTTTGTATTTTTTTGTAGAGACGGGGTTTCACTGCGAGCAGGCCAGGATGGTCTCGATCTCCTGACCTCGTGATCCGCCATCTCGGCCTCCCAAAGTGCTGGGATTACAGGCTTGAGCCACACGCGATTTCGCCCTAAGTGGGTCTTCTTTAGATGGCATATTGCTAAAGACGCCCACTCCAGAGTCTGTCTTTTTCTGCTTAATCTGAATCTGTTTAATTAACGGTTGTTATGAAGTCTTCAGAAGACACATCTGGCGGCCTGTCGCGCGCGCTCCATCTCGTCGTGACTTCTCCTCCTCCGATTTCAGCCACCGCCCTTGCCTCTGCTTCCTTCTCCCACCATTTATGTGCCCCGTTGTTCCGCTGGTTTTTATTCTTCGGATGGTCACTCCTTGTTGTGGAAAAAGGATTTACACACATAATGGTCATTCACTGTTTGTTTCTAGAGTTTCTCCATTACTGTACTATTTCCTGCATAAGATCGAATCACTAAGCACTCCTTCTCCTCTACTGCAGGCCTCCTTCCAATTTCACACACATTGGGTCATCCAGAACTAACTTCATTCTGGTTGATATGAATACTCTGGGTTTGGGTAGGAACAGGTGGGAGTCAGTTTCATAAAGTCACGCGCTCAGTGTTCCCGAGTCTCTGCACTCACCTGCGTCTCTCTGCACTCCACCCTCCTACACCCCCTGCACTCACCTCCGGCATCTCAGGGCACTCACCTCCCCCGTGTCTCAGGGCACCCACCTCCCGTGTCTCTGCACTCACCTCCCGTAGTCTCAGGGCACTCACCTCCCGTGGTCTCTGCACTCACCTCCCGTGGTTTCCTGCACTTACCTCCTGTGTCTCTGCACTCACCTCCTACACCCTGCACTCTCCTCTGGCATCTCAGGGCACTCACCTCCCACATCTCTGCGTTTTACCTCCCGCCTCCAGGGCATTCCACTCCCACGCCCTATGCTCACTCTCCCGTGATCTCAGGCACTCCACCTCCCACGCCCCCATGCCTTCACCTCCCGCGTCTCAGGGCACTCACCTCCCACGCCCCTGAACTCACCTCCTGCATCTCAGCCTCACCTCCCGCTGGGCCTCAGGGCACTCACCTCCCACATATCTGGTCATCTCACCTCCCCGCTGCCTCAGGCACTCACCTCCACGCCCCACGCTCACCTCCTGCGCCTCAGGGCACTCACTCCCACGCCTCTGCATCTACCTCCCGCGCCTCAGGCACTCACCTCCACGCCTGAACTCACTCTCCTGCATTTTTTTTTGAGACGGAGTCTCGCTCTGTCGCCCAGGCTGGAGTGCAATGGCCAGATCTCGACTCACTGCAAGCTCCGCCTCCCGGGTTTACGCCATTCTCCTGCCTCAGCCTCCGGAGTAGCTGGGACTACAGGCGCCCGCCACCTCGCCCGGCTAGTTTTTGTATTTTTTTTAGTAGAGACGGGGTTTCACCGTGTTAGCCAGGATGGTCTCGATCTCCTGACCTCGTGATCCGCCCATCTCGGCCTCCCAAAGTGCTGGGATTACAGGCTTGAGCCACCGCGCCCGGCCCTAAGTGGGTCTTCTTTAGATGGCATATTGCTAAAGACGTCCACTCCAGAGTCTGTCTTTTCATTAATCTGAATCTGTTTAATTAACGGTTGTTATGAAGTCTTCAGAAGACACATCTGGCGGCCTGTCATGCGTCCATCCGTCGCACTTCCTCTCCGACTTCAGCCACCGTCCTTGCCTCGTTTCCTTTCTCCCACCATTTATGTGCCCCGTTGTTCCGCTGGTTTTTATTCTTCGGATGGTCACTCCTTGTTGTGGAAAGGATTTACACACATACGTATCATTCACTGTTTGTTTCTAGAGTTTCTCCATTACTGTACTATTTCCTGCATAAGACGAATCACCAAGCACCCTCTCCCCACGTGTGGCCTCCTTCCACCCCGTCACATTGGGTCATCCAGAACCAACTTCATTCTGGTTGATATGAACACTTGGGTTTGGGTAGGAACAGGTGGGAGTCAGCTTTACAAAGTCACGCGCTCAGTGTTCCTTCCGAGTCTCTGCACTCACCTGCGTCTCTGCACTCACCTCCCACACCCCTGCACTCACCTCCGGCATCTCAGGGCACTCACCTCCCGTGTCTCAGGGCACTCACCTCCCGTGTCTCTGCACTCACCTCCCGTGTCTCAGGGCACTCACCTCCCGTGTCTCTGCACTCACCTCCCGTGTTTCTGCACTTACCTCCTGTGTCTCTGCACTCACCTCCCACACCCCTGCACTCTCCTCTGGCATCTCAGGGCACTCACCTCCCACATCTCTGCGTTTACCTCCCGCGTCTCAGGGCATTCACCTCCCACGCCCCTATGCTCACCTCCCGCATCTCAGGGCACTCACCTCCCACGCCCCTATGCTCACCTCCCGCGTCTCAGGGCACTCACCTCCCACGCCCCTGAACTCACCTCCTGCATCTCAGCCTCACCTCCCGCGTCTCAGGGCACTCACCTCCCACATATCTGCATTCACCTCCCGCGTCTCAGGGCACTCACCTCCCACGCCCTCATGCTCACCTCCTGCGTCTCAGGGCACTCACCTCCCACGTCTCTGCATTCACCTCCCGCGTCTCAGGGCACTCACCTCCCACGCCCCTGAACTCACCTCCTGCATCTCGGCCCCTCCTCTACGTCCCTGCACACTCACCTCCCGCGTCCCTGCACTCACCTCCTGCATCTCAGGGCCACTCACCTCCCATGTCCCTGCACTCACCTCCACCGCGTCTCCAAGGCACTCACCTCCGTGTCCCTGCACTCACCTCACGCGTCTCAGGGCACTCACCTCCGTGTCCCTGCACTCGCCTCCCGATGTCTCTGCACTCCCGTCCGCGTCTCAGGGCACTCACCTCCCACGCCCCTGAACTCACCTCCTGCATCTCGGCCTCACCTCCCGTGTCCCTGCACACTCACCTCCCGATGTCCCTGCACTCACCTCACGCGTCTCAGGGCACTCACCTCCTGTCCCTGCACTCCCGTCCGCGTCTCAGGGCACTCACCTCCCGTGTCCTGCACTCACCTCACGCGTCTCAGAGGCACTCACCTCCGTGTCTCTGTACTCACCTCCAGGGCCTCACCTCCCGATGTCTCTGCACTCATCCGCGTCTCAGAGGCACTCCTCCCATGTCTCTGCACTCCGTCCAGCGTCTCAGAGGCTCACCTCCCGTGTCTCTGCACTCACCTCCCACATCTCAGGGCCTCACCTCCGTGTCCCTGCACTCACCTCACACGATGTCTCAGGGCACTGCCTCCCGTGTCTCACCTCTCAGGGCACTCACCTCCTGTGTCTCTGCACTCCTCACACGTCTCAGGCACTCACCTCCCGTGTCTGCACTCCTCCCACTGCGTCTCAGGGCACTCACCTCCTGCGTCCCTGCACTCACCTCCTGCGTCCCTGCACTCACCTCACGCGTCTCAGGACACTCACCTCCTGTCTCTCTGCATTCACCTCTCAGGGCACTCACCTCCGTGTCTTTGTACTCACCTCCCGCGTCTCAAAGGCACTCCTCCTCGTCCTGCACTCACCTCCCGCGTCTCAGGCCTCACCTCCCGTGTCTCTGCACTCACCTCCCGTGTCTCAGGGCACTCACCTCCCGTGTCTCTGCACTCACCTCCACATGTCTCCAGAGCCTCACCTCCCCGTCCCTGCACTCACCTCCTGTGTCTCTACACACTCAGTGCTCATGTCTCGAGGCACTGCCCATGTACTCCACCCCCTGGCTTTTTCTTTGTGACTACTGGCTGTGAAGGTGTTTTCAAAGCGGACCTCACCATGGCAAACCTCAAAAGTACTCGTCTCCATGAGGTCATCGTCCTCTGTCTACACAAGAAGTGATCGTTTAGCTGGCTATAAAACTCTGAGCTTAGACTTCTCCTTCCGCACTTTCAAAGTGACCTTCTAAGATCTTGCATTCCACGGTTGCTGTTGAAAATCTTGTGTCAATAAATTTGTATTTCTTTGAAAGTATCAGCTAACTTACACGGCCACGAGAGCCCCAGTAGGCCATCTGCAGGCTGAGGAGCAAGGAGATCCAGTCCGAGTCTCAAAACGGAAGAACCTGGAGTCCGATGTTGGAGGGCAGGAAGCTTCCAGCACGGGAGAAAGATGTAGGCGGGGAGGCAAGGCCGTCTCTGCTTTCACGGTGTTCTGCCTGCTTTATATTCACTGGCAGCTGATTAGATGGGTACACAGGTGTCAAGAAATTGGGTCTGCCTTCCTCAGCCCACTGACTCATGTTAATCTCCTTTGGCAACACCTCAGAGACACACACCCAGGATCAATGCACTTTTTTGTATCCTTCAGGCAGTCAGGTTGACCTCAGTGCTCGGTGTTAAGTGTCTCGGGCCATGGTGTTCTTCGGTTTTCCTGTAGCGCCTCTAGCCATGGTTTTTTGTCTGTCTCTTTTGACTCTCAGTGAGCCTTCCAATTCCAGGAAAACGTGGCTCATTGTGTCTTCAACTATTTTCTGCGCTCCAATTATTTCTGTCTCTCCCGGGATTTTAAGAGACGAGGATGCTGACACCTGTGTCCCCCTCACCCCTTGGAGCTCTTAAGAGGGTCCTCCGTGCTTCCTCCCTCACTGTCTGTGGTCACCTGTGTCTCACTCGTGCTGTGAGTAGGTCCCCTCAGCCATCCGGCAAGTCCTCTGCACCTGACAGTTTTCCTTGCCCTTTGTCTTTAGTGGAGGCGTCTTCCAGGATCCCCCTCCCCCTCCCTTCCTGGCCTCTTGCTCTGTCTCCGTAGCTTCTGGGGAGCGTGGCATGGGCTGTGTGCCTCCTCGGCTGGGCTGCCAGTCCGTTTTCTTTCTGTGGATTCCGCCGCGGCCAGGACATCTTGCTTTCGGTCTGTTTTTCTTTCTGTGGATTCCACCGCAGCCGGGAAGCGCCTTGCTGGGATCCGTTTTCTTTCTTCCCATGGCAGCTCCAAAGTCTGGCTTCCCTGCGGTCCAGGTTCCTCTGGGGTCTTGAGCCCCACTGACCGGCAGCCCACAGGGAAGGACAGGCTCAAGTCAACCTTAGTTGCTCTACAGCAGGTTTGGGGAGGTGGGTGGTGCCCTTTGTCCTAACCCATAGCCTGCTGGCACACTCCTGTGCCCCTGCCATCCTGATGTCCCAGGACACCAGCTCAAGACAGCCACTAGGGAGTATAGGCCCCTGCCTGACCGAGAGCGCCATCAGGTCAGGGTGAGCCCGCGAGGCAGCTGAGAGCCAAGCCTAGGAGCAATGCAGCCAGCACCTCCCACGCCCCTGAACTCACCTCCTGCATCTCGGCCTCACCTCCTACGTCCCTGCACACTCACCTCCCGCGTCCCTGCACTCACCTCCTGCATCTCAGGGCACTCACCTCCCATGTCCCTGCACTCACCTCACGCGTCTCAGGGCACTCACCTCCCGTGTAGTTACGTATTGCCGTGCCTCTCCCCAGAGGGCCTGAAGGTGCAGGAGAATGAGGACAACCTCGCTTGCCTGGCCTGACGCCGCCCGTGACACACTCAAGCTCATCCGGAACAAGTTCCTGCCGGCCGTGTGCTCGTGTGGGATCCAGGTGAGCCTCAAACCTGGGACTCAGGGGTGGAGGGCCGTGGGTGCAGAGCGCGCCAGGCGAGGGGTCCCCTTCTGGGGGCGCTGGGGGCCCGGGGCGTGGTCTGGTGGCTTGAATGGTCCCTGACCTGCGCAGGCTCTGTCCTCACCTGCAGCTTCGGTCCTCTGCACCCCAGGTGTACCAGAGACCCTGGTCCGGTGACCTGGCTGCAGCCTCCCGGCGGGATGGCTTCCTAGCCTGCCGGCCAGGCCCCTGGAGCTATTCGCACCTCCCGCTTTGTATACGCCTTCACCCGCTGGGGACCCACGGTGGATGTTTAAAGCGCGCCATTGACCTGAAGGCGGAATTGGAGCTTGCACTGAGAAAATACAAGGAGCTGGACATCGAGTCCAAGGGAGGGCAGAGGCACAGGGTGAGTGGGCAAGCGGGAAGGTGTCCCAGAAGGCCTCAGTGGGGAGGAGAAGCTATGGCGGGCTGCACCGGGGCCTGTGGCCCGGCAGAACCCAACCACACCCCAAGCCCACTGAGCCCCAGCAAGGGCTCAGAGTCACACGCCGCCGGGCAGAGGGAGAGGTAGCTTTGGGTGCTGCCCGCTGCCATGCGTGGTAGCTGAGCAGAGGTGCTGGAGGCCGCTCGCCCAGGAAAGCCACCAGTCAGGCTGTGCCCCCACAACTCCTTCTAGGGAGTCATCAGCAATGCGGCGCCTGTCCTGGCAGGTGCTGTATCCTCCAGAGGAAAGACCCCTGGCAAGCCCAGACGGCGAAGAGTCACCGCGGGCTCCAGCACTCCAGGTGGAGACCTGGGTTACTGTCTGCTGGCTTTATGAGGGGCTTGGGAGGGTGGTAGGGGCATTCACTTCCTGAGCAAGGAGCACAGGGTTGGGGAAGGGGCAGGGCCACCATGAGGGGCTGGAGGCTGGAGGAGGAATGGGTGCTCTGGCGGGGTGAAGCTGGGAGCAGAGACCGCCACATTGGGCTTTTGGAGCGGTCGAGGTGGCGGTGTTCGACGCTGGCTGTGCCAGGGCCTTGAACTGCCTGAGCACAGAATGGAAATCCGGGCCTCAGTGCCTGGAAGGGCCTGAGAGCTGGGTCTCTGCAGATGTCCGGCGGCACCCAGCGCGGTCAGGCTCTTGGGACTGGGAGGCACACCGTGCCACCCTGGGCTCGCGCACAGCTGTGGTGTTCCCAGGCGCCTCTCGTGGAACCCAAGCCCCGAACCCCAGCACCCTGAACTTGGACCCCAAGCCCTGCCCGGCCTGGGAGATGCTGGCCTTTGGGTCTGCCACTAAGAAAGCTTTGGGTGGAAGTGACATTGTGCTCTCGCTGAGGAAGAGGTCGGGTTCCAGCGGCAGACGTGCGCTGGAGTGGGGCCGGGAAGCTCTCTGGATGAAATGCTGAGCCTGTGGTTTTCCCTGGTCAGTGGCCCGCCCCGGCATGGTGGGGTGTGCAGACGCCCCGGGGCCAGCAGAGGGCGAGCTTGCTTTTCCCTTTATGTCCAAACTGATTCCCGGAGAATTTATAGTCATGTGGAGCCTGGAGGCCGCGCGCCCGTGTGGCTGTGTTTGGGTGTCAACACCCGCCCACGAGGAAATACTTTCTGTGAGCTGTGGCAAAATACACTTTTGCAATGAGAAAGCATGCTGCTGGTCTGGGCTGGGGAGGAAGATGGTGAGTGCTGTCAGCACGTCAGATCACGGTGAGCCCACTGCTCACGCCCAGCGCACTGGCCCACAGGATGGCAGCTGCAGGATCAGGCCCTCGATGGCAGCCTCTGTCACAAGCAAGTGGGCCGCGTGGGGCTGCCAGCCGTGTCAGGCGTCTCTGTGGCTCACACTGGGGCCCTTGAAGGCCGCCTGCCCAGTCTCCACGGCACGGCGAGGCTTGCTGGAGCCTTACGCTGAGACCCCACCCAGGCACTGCCCTCTGTGCAGCCACTCACGCTGACTCACCTGGCGCGGCTCCTGCAGTCTGCAGACAGTTTTGTCTGAAGGTGGCTGGTGGGCCTTTGCCTGGCCCTGGGGCAGCTTATTGGTGAGGGTCCACAGAGCAGAGGGGTTGATGGGTGGCATGGTCTAGTTTCACTGTGGCCTGGGCCCCCTCCAGCTGGCACAGTCCTTTTAGTACCAGCAGCAGTGCTGGGGTCAGCAGCCAGGTGCTCTCCTTGGCCTGAGGTTCTGTGCAGTGGAACCTTCTGGAATGTCTGTGCCCTCTGCCTGCATGTCATAGCTCCACAGCATCTGGGACGGCCTCAGGTGGGGCTGGCTGGTGGAAGTGCGTCCGGGCAGCCTCCGGGCTGCTGGGCAGCTTGGCCTACTTGGGTGAGGATGAGGAGCTGCCACCCCGAGTCAGGACTCTAATTCAGCACAGCCGCGCACCGCAAGGCCTACAGGCTCCCGGCCACGGCTGACTTGCACCACAGCCCACCTCACCCTAGTGGATGCAAACTCTTTGTGCCAGGTCCCTGCATGCTCTTCCGTGAGTGTTCAGCTGGGGCCTGCCCCCTGCCCTGTGGGCTTAGGAGAGCCGGGCCCCCGACCTCTGCCGGCTGCGGCTCCCTGCTGGCTGTGCCCCCCTGGCTGCAGGCGCCAGCCCTCCTGCCACAGGGCTGCTCGGGGTGCTATATCTGTGGCCTGGTCTGTGGGGGCCAGGGCCCGCAAGAGGTGGGCCAGGCCATGCAGGAGAGTGCTGGGCAGGGCATGGCTGCCTGAAGGACCCCAGCTGCTGCTGCTCCACCCAGCAGGTCCCGGGACCCTGCCAATGCTGTTAGCTGTCTCTGAGCTTGAGTGACGTGACGGAGCTGCCCACACCTCACGTGGTGGAGTTACCACCACCGCTTCTCCGTGGCGCATGACTCCCAGCCCTTGGCACGCAGGCGGCCACCCTGACCCAGCGCCTGGGACCTGCTGCCCTTCCACTATCCTTCCTCACTCTGCCGGCCGAGGGCCCACTCCTGACCCATCTGTGTGCGTCTCTCTTGAGATCTGAGTGGTGGCACTGGGTCAGGGGTGTTCAAGTGTCAGGACTGACAGTGCTTGGGAGGGCCCTCGCCCTTCCGACCACGGTCTGGCCAGCAGACGCGCCTGCAGCTGTGCTTCAGGAGCTGGTGAGTGTGCAAGGCGGCAGGGTCTGTGATGCTGATTGAGGATGTCACAGCCCTGGCAGGAAGGAGGTGCCACGCTGCTCCTTTGTCAGTTGAATGGACACTTTCAGACTCTTCTCCGAAACTGATGTTTTTTGAAAGCACTGCTCTGAAGTCCTTTGGAGATTTTGCTCGCGGCAGCTGAGTGCAGGAGCTGCCTGGAGATGAGAAGTGATTGGCGGGCTCGCTCTGCTCAGGTGAGCGGTGCTTCCCAGAATAGATGCGCGCGCCACTGCGGTACCCGGCTCATCTCTCCTGGCTCGCGCAGCCACCGCTGGCCTCGAGTGGCCCGTGGTGTGCAGGTGGCTGGCTGACCGAACGTGGGATGTTAATTAGAGCGTTTACTGCTAGAAATTATGAATGAGGTGCTCCTCACGTTAATTCTCCCGAATAACAAAATTTACAGAGGGTTTAAATCACTTCCTCAGCCTCCCCCATTTAGCACGGGATTAAGGCCGTTAACTCCGTAGAACAGAGCACGCTAATCTAATCATGCCTGATTCTCTATTATTTTTAGAACTTCCAACAATTGTGTAGAGATGGGAACACGCAGCGCTCATAGTTGCAGGCAGGAGCCCGGGAGCCAGCGCTGGAAGGCCCAGCCCATCCTGTGGCGGCCCAGCCGGTGCTGGTGCTGAGGCTTGGTAAGGTCACCCGGGAGCAGACACCGTGTCTTTCCTTTTTATCATTTCCACTTGGTTTCTACGTAGTATTGTTTTCTCGACACAGATGTTTGCTCTCAGAAAAATGCTCACGCTGGTTTGAATACGTGTGCTGCAGCTGGAGCGCTCCGTGTGCTCCCGCCCGTGTGGCTCCTGGCCTCGGGCAGGCCGTGTACGCTGGAGCGCCTGTGTGGCCTCCGCTCCGGGAGCAGGCTGAGGCGACCTGATCGATGTGCAGCCATTTGGTAGTTTGAGTGTCCAGCCTGCCACACTCACGGCAGGTGTGATCATCCGTGGGCTGCGTCATTCACTGAGCTGGGATAAAAATCCCTGGAAACTTTCACATTGCGTGCTGCCAAATTACATAGCCTGTGATCACCAATTACTTTGTACTGTATAATTAACAAAATATTAATTTCTATCAGGCAAGGGAGTCAGAAAACCATCTTAAGCATTGTTCTCTTTAGTACTGGTCAGCGCGGGCTCTTCTCTTCTGCTAATTATCAATTACTTGTTTCCATGGCTGAAACATTTACTTGTTTTTGTTCTTGCCGTGCTGGAGTCTGCTGGGGCAGCCACGTGGCCCGGCCGTGGGTGCGTCCTCCTGCTCACAGAACTGAGTCGCCCCCCAACTCTGTGTGGTTTTCTTTTCTATCTGCTGCCTGTCTGCCTCTCTCCAATGGGGCTCACTCACCAGAGCTCTGATCTTTGGAGTTAGATGCCAGAAGCATTCTCGCCCTCTGGATGTTCAGTGGGTCGGGATGCAGCCCGACAGCCTCCTGGGGACCCTGTCAGCCCCTGGGATGGAGGCCCCACCTCCTTTCCCTGCTGTGCGTGAGAGGGAAGTTTTCTGTGATGCTCTGAGCCGTGGGAGTGTCTGACTTCCGGAGATGAAAAGGACAGAAACTGAAAACTCCAGGATGAAATGTGGACCCACCAGGCACAGGCAGGGAGGAGGACTCAAATCAGCGCTGTCGGGAAACCTTGACCGCCGTAGGGCCGGGAAAGAACCTTCCAAAAGATGGGGCCTCCATCATGCCGGGCGC